GTGTTAAGAGCAGACCCCGTAAGATAAGGAAGTGAAACATTTCCCCTATTCCTGGAAGGGAACTCAAGTAGCTATATTTTTTTCTAAAAAGTAATTGCAAATTACTGAGGACTTTTTTATGTGCCAGGCATTGAGCTAAGCACATTATATACATCATGTCATTTAATCCTCACAAAAGCCCAAGGAGGTAGTGTTCTGGACCCCATTCTGGGTGTCTTTTGTTGCATAACAAACGACCCCAAAGCTTAATGACCTAAAATGGAAACAGCCATTTGTTTTGATCACATATCTGTGACGTGGGCAGGGATCAGCCATGCCTGCTTTCTCTATTTCTTGTGGCGACTGCTTGGGGCTGGAGGACCCCCTTCTAGGACAGCTTCCTCATGTGATGGGCAGCTGTCAGCCACGAGTTCAGCGGGGGTGTTGGTTTCACTCCTTGTGTGCCTGCCTCTCCACAAAGCCACCCAGGTTCCCCCACAACATGGAACTGGGTTCCCGGAGCAAGAATCCCAAACAGGATGGAGAAGCTGCCAGTGTCTTAAGATGGACACAGCATCACTTCTTTCGTCTTCTATTGGTCAAGCAGACACAGAGCCTGCTCAGGTTCACGGCGAGGAGACCAAGGTCACAGCTCTCAGTGGGTAGTACCAAAGCCTTGGCAGCCGTCTTTATCCTTCCAGGAGCCCAGAAAGGTTAAATGCTTTGCCCTGGACCACACAGCCAGTGTGTAGACGGCTCCCCTGTGCTCTGCTTCTTCTAGGCCCTGTGACATTCCCAAGTTGGCTAGAGCACCTGACTAACCTCAGTCCAGAATTCTGTTCCTTTTCCTGCCACTAACCCAGCCTATACTATCAATGCCCAGTGAAGCAGTTTCTAGAAACATCCCTCAATCACGGCACCTGTGTTGGGGGTTGACTTCAAGAACATCCCTGAAAGAATCCTAGGCTTGAGAAGAAAAGACCCAGAGCCGTGGGATACGGGAATGATGGTTGTGTCTGTCATGGTGTAACTTGTGTTCTTCATCTTGTGTTGCTCACGAGTAGTTGTCAGACTCCAACCAGTGAACCAAAGCCTGCCACCTGTTTATGGGTAGCCCTTGAGGAAAACAAGATGGTTCAACACTTTTAAATGGTTGAAGAAAAAAGCAAGAAGAAATGTAACAGTCAAATAGCTTCAGCAGAGACTGTCGCACACAAAGCCTCTTACAGAGATAATCGACCTCTGTTCTGGAAGACAGAATCAGGACTGTGTGAGCGGAGCTAGCATTCATGTCTGCATAGGGAGAATTTTCGATCTAGAGTTGTCCATATGCAGGAACAGTAGCTCTCAGCTGAAGGCCATGCAGGCCGAGGGCTGTGTGCCTCGGACGCTGCTGTCAGTGATGTGCTGGTAAATGCATAAAACTGGCTCTCCGGCAAGAAAAACCTTGACATGTAATGTATGTCTATTTCTTTGGTAGGGATCTCACTGTGGTCAGTTTCTAGTTCTGACATGATGGCCCTAAGGATGGAGTTGGGAAGAGATGCACATAATCGGCTCTTGGAGTTCTAGTTCAGGGAACTGGGAATCGATACTGTGTAACGCTGCCCTCTGGTAGCTTCCAGTGCCGAGAGCTTCAGGGGTGCAAGGAAGAACAGCAGGGCAGGAAAAACCTCTGCCCTTCCCTCTGCCTCTCTGGGCTCACAGGCGGCCACTGTTAGTATCTGTAGGCACAGGAAGATGAAGTTCCATGCCCTGAATTACACAGCTGCTTAAAAACTCCACCTGCCATTTCACTGCCTCACATGTGGTTTAGAAAATCCTGATTTCTACAAAGAGTGAAAAGTTGGACTGCATCCAAATTGAGAACGTCTGTTTAAGAAAACATCACTTTAAACAAAGTTAGAAGGTAGATGACAGACTGGAAGAAGATATTTGGAATCTTAAGAGATCCAGATCTCGTGTCAAAAAGATGTAAGGAACGCCTATCAATCATTTAAAATTAAAGCCAGAGATGGTCCAATAGAAAAATGGGCGAAGGGTATGGACAGACAGTGTACCTCCACTCAAATATCAAAGGCCGATAACATATGAAAGATGACTAGTCTTTCAATACGTAAGAGTACCAGTCTCACTACTAAGCAGGGAGATGTGGGATAATAATGGGATTCATTTCATCCATCAAATTGGCCCAAAGTCATGACACCAGCAAGTGAGGCTGTGATCCACAGCACATTCATCCACTGCAGCTGGAAGAATATAAAACATTCATATTCAAAACTGAGGTTCCTTCTACCTCTTCTTCTCCCAAATCCTGGCCTCCTCCCTCTCCTCCTCCCTCCCTCCCCAAAAGTAAAGATGGTCCCAATTCAATTTCATGATTTTTCAACTTTATGATGGTGTGGGAACAATAAGCATTCAGTAGAAACTATACTTCAGAGTCTGAATTTTAATCTTTTCCCGGGTCTAGTGATCTCCCGTGATGCTGGGCAGCTCCCAGTCAGCCACACGAGGGGAACCAACAGACCCTCTTATTGCATATTGTGTTTTATGTTTCAAATGGCATCATGCCTACAAAATAACCTCTGACGCAGAAATTCCAAATCAGGCTATATGTCCTATGGCCTAGAAAAGCCGTCACATTTTCAGAAGAGGCAAGGGACACAAAAATATTGTTGCCTTGTAGTTTATGATAGTGAAAAATTGGAAACAGCGTAAAACCCCTCAGTTGGGGAGGGGCTGAGTACACTCTGATTTAAACACTCCAGTGAGCGCCAGGCAGCAGTGGACAGGAGGACCCCGGAGCCCTGTACCGATGGGCATAGCTGAGCTGAGATTAATAGAGTGTAGAACAGCTCATGCTGCCCGATACCATTTATGTTCTTAAAGTGTACATGAGAGAATGCCCTGTAGTCCATAGGACATATATAGGAAGTTTCAGGAGGCTATACACTGTTGTCATAATTGTGTACATAGGTGCTCCTTGAATGATGATGGAGTTAATTAAGTTCTAATAAACCCACTCTGAGTTGAAAATGCATTTAATACACCTAACCTTTGGAGCACTGTAGCTTAGCCTGATCTCCCCTAAACATGCTCAGAACACTGGCATCAGCCTGCAGTTGAGCAGTTTTCTTGAGCCAAAACTAATTATTTTACCTTCCTCTTCTTCTCACCAGAAACGGGAGAAGCAGATGGGCATTTTGTAGACATGATGGAATTTGGAACATAAAACACAATATGCAGTAAACACTGGTACATGTTACGTTATTGAGTACTGGCCATTTCTGCTGGGCACAGCTGCCCTGCCCAGCATCACGGGTGAAGATTGTACTTTTTATCAGTAGCCCTGGGAAAAGACTAAATTTCAAAATTCGATGTGGTATTTGAATTGAATGTGGTATTGAATGTTTATGGCTTTTGCACCATCATGAAGCTGCATCATGAATTGAATCGGTGTGATCTGTACTTTTGGGGAAGGGGAGGGACAGAGAAGACAGGAACTGGGGAGAAGGGGAGAGAGATAGGAGGAACTTTAGTGTTATACATGGATGTTCTAATTTTCCTTAAGGCAAGTATATTCATGTATTTCTTGTACAATGTTTTCAAGAGACCAAATTAAAGTTCAGCCCTCCCCGCCTGGGTTTCTGTGCCATCTGCCTGGCTAAGCCCACATAGACCAGATTGGCCAACAGGGTCACACTTGGGAAGGCATGTATGAGAATGGTGATCATTTTGGCCCGTGAGCCTGAAATTCCCTTGAGGACTCTTTTACCTCCACCAAGGTCTCAGTGTTCCTTAACACTTTTGCCTAGCCAAGAAAAGGCTGTTATCCTTAACTGCCTGTTGTTCAGTTGAGACTGGCCAGGAACGAGGGGACTGGAGTCACACTGGATGGATGGTATTGGGCTGGGGTTGGCTTCTGCCCACCCTGCCCACCTTCCCCTTCAAGGCTCTCATCCCAGTGCCCCAGGCAGCTCTCAGGCTGGACTAGAGTCCTGTGTGTCCAGACCCAAGGAAAGTGAGCCCAGGCTCCCTTCCACCTTACTGATTCATGTCAGGGAACCCACCTCTTCCCCAGATTATGGACCCCAGGAATGTCCCCGCATTTCAGGAAAACTCTTATGTTTAACCACAGGCAGGTGTGTGGCATCATTCTACTGTTAGCGTGAGAGCTACATGAGAAGTCCACACTTTACGATGGCATTTTGACAAAAGATACACAGAAAGTAGCTTAGAGGGTTTCCTCACCCAGATGCTTGTGGCCTAGAGTAGCGAAGGCCCAGGACACTGACACCCTGCCCAGTGGCCAACATGCTTAGCCTGCGTCATTATCCCCATGCATCCCCAGAGGCAATAATAGGTGTTGTTCCTATTCTGTAAACAGATGAACTGCACCTCAGAAAGTAACTTGCCCCATCTGAGATCCCAGAGTCCAGACTGAAACCCTGCCTCCAATGCTTTTTTTAACTCGAACCATATTCTTTCTTCCTTCAGGGATTTCATTCTAGAAACATTCAGAAGTCTTCCTGTTTGTGGCACAACCTCCCCGGGTGAAATGAAAGATCACTTCCCACATGAATTTTGAGTGCCAGGCATTCTTTTCCTTGAGAATCCCCAGAACTCCTTTTAAGTTCCACTTGAATTGAAGCAAAAACAGAGAACTTATTTGCAGATATGGCTTGCACTTTGGATGCAGGAGGCAGGACTAATTCAAGAGGAGGCGTGGAGGTTGGGAACTCGTTTGATATTATTTATGTGATTTGAGGCAACAGTCTATAATCAAAGAACTGTGTTGTCAAACCACTAATCTCCTGTGACCTTAAATTCACACCTGTTTCACAGATGCAAAAAGGAAGATATTGTACCACATCTTTTCTTTGGATTCTCCAGCTTCAGTTTTGCATCCCCAAAGACCTCAGTTACCCAGGGAATTTAAATTAGAGAGTGAGAGGTGAGAATGTGAAAACCCTTCAGGACTTCCCCTAGATTAACAAGAAAGAGCATTCAGCACTTGCTAATGACCGTGGAGCATTGTTTTTTAATTTGGGGTTTATTTTGAAGCAGAGCTGAGAAATGGTTGGGTACTTCCCCTCACACCTTCACAGCACAGTCCGCTGGGAGAGTTGGTTTTCAAAGAAGCATCTCAAAGTCTTGGGGAAATTACTTCAGGATGGGATCAGACAGATGTGCATTTTTCTCCAGCATTTTCCGACTTGATTTTAAAAGTTTTTTTATAATAGTGCATGAATGAACCCCTCCTTCATAGGAGAATCTGAAAGCAAGACTAACAAAAAACATCAGTGGATTCTATTTATCCTCCCTTTCTATTGCATCCTCTCCTTTCCCTGAGTTGCTTTAGCCATCCCATAGTATTTTGTTACAGCCCTGTGAGCAGTTACTACCTGTTATGCCCCCTGCAAAGAAAAAAAAGAAGATATGGTGAAGCTGTAATCCCTAGTACCTCAGAATGTGACCTTATTTGAAAATAGGGCCTTAGCAGATGTAACCAGGTTCAAATGAGGCTACTATGGTGGGCTCTAATCCATCTGACCCATGTCCTTATATAAAGGAGAAAATTTAGGCATAAACACAGACTTGCAGAGAGGAAAGATGATGTGAAGACAAAGAAAGAAAGAAGGCCATGTGCAAACATGTACAAACATAAGGTTTGAGTGATGCATCCATAGCCAAGGAAAGCCCAGCGTTTCCTTTTAGGCAAACCTCTGAAAACTAGGAAGAAGCAAGATTGCCCTACAGGCTTCAGTGGGAGCAAGGCACTGCTGACACCTTGATTTCCAGCTTCTAGAACTGTGAGACCATAAATTTCTGTTGTTTGAAGCCATCCAGTTTGTTTATGTAGCCCTAGTAAACTAATGCAGCTACCTATACCTAGCCCTTATCAAATATCCATGTAGGATAAGTAAGAGTGAGAATTTCTGTTCGTCTCTCTCATAGTTAATGTGACATTATATTTTCCAAAGATGGCTGCAACTTCCTCCCCTGTCTTCCTTGTCCGTCTGTACCCTTGAAACTCCCCCATCAAGAGATGAATCCTAAATCTCCTCCCCTTGAATCTGGACGGGCTCTGACTCTGTGACTTCCGAGGCAGCTTCCACCCTGTTTCTAGAACACTTGCCCTGGGTCCCTAAACTGCCATGCAAATAGTTCACTTGGCTGGAGTCCGCCATCCCACGAGGAAGCCCAAAGTACCCCAAATGAAGAGACCACACAGAGACACAAGACTTTGTGGAAAGAGACACCCAGACAGTCCCAGGTGTTCTGGCACCCTTGTAATTTCAGTTTCAGCCACTGATTGCACCCCCATGTCAGACCCTGAGCCAGAGCTACCGCCCAGCCCAGCCCTTCCTAGATTTCTGATCCATAGAAACCTTAAGAGATAACAAAACAATAGCTGTGTTTAAAGCCAGTAGGTTCGGGGAGATTTGTAACATAGCAATAGATGACAGGAACAGTTAATATACTCTCTGCTTTGCGTTGGTTGCTTTCCTTTAATTTAAAAAAAAATTTAATTGGAGGATAATTGCTTTATAATTACCCCGTTTCTGCCATACATCAACGTGAACCAGCCACAGGTATACATATGTCCCTTCCCTCTTGAACGCCCTTCCCATCTCCCACTGCATCCCACCCCTCTAGGTTGTCACAGAGCAGTGGGTTGAGTTCCCTGTGTCACAGAGCAAGTTCCCCCGGCTCTCGGTGTTACATATGGTAATGTGTATGTTTCTATGCTGTATCAATCCGTCCCACCCTCTCTTTCCCACACTGTGCCCACACGTCTGTTCTCTATGTCTGCGTCTCCATTACTGCCCTGCAAATAGGTTCATCAGTGCCATCTTTCAAGTTTAACTTAAAAAATGGATTTTGCATTTTTACTTCTGACTAAAGTGATTTATGTTCAGAGCAAACAGACTGCAACCACGGAATCTCAGTGACTTAACCTGATCGTACTTATTTCTCACTCACTCCAAGTCCAGTGTGGATGCTGCAGGTTGAGTGGCTCTCCTACAAGCATTAACTCGGGGATCCACATACTTCCTAACTGATGTCTCCGTTGTTTCTAGTCCTCCTTGGGGTCCTCTGCTGGGTCGTCTGTGTTCAGGTAGCCAAAGAGAAAGGGGAAAGAGAGTGGAGGATTGCATGAGGTATTTCAGGGGCCAGGCCGGGAAGTGGTACACTTCATTCTGGTTCGTGTTGCACTGGCTAGAGCTAGTCTTCAGCTCAAGGGAGCTGGGAAGTGCAGATTAGCCCTGCACCCGGGAGGAGAAGGTGAGCGTGATGGAGGCACAGCTCTGCTGCATTCACACGTAGATTCATAGAATCTTGTGTGATCAGGGCTGCAAGGGACGGGAGGTAGGCTTCTCCAAATGCGGTCCACCAGCATCAGGACCCCTGAGGCGCTTGTTAAAATGCAGCTTCTGGGGCCCCACCTGCCGAGTCAGAACCTCAGGGAGGGGCTCTAGGAAATTGCATTTTTCCAAACCTCCCAATTCTTGTTATGGACAATAAGGCTGAAGAGTCACTTACCAGTTCAACCCTCTCATTGTACAGACAGCCAAGTTGAGGTCCAGAGAAGCGACCTGACCTCCATACTTTCCTCCTGTCCACCCACAGCCTGAGGCCAGAGCTGGAGTGGGGCCCTGTGTGCTGAGGCCCATCCAGTCCACTTGCCAGGCTGCCTCCCAGGGCTCTGTGTCGTAGCCGGCAGAGCATACTCAGTTCCTGAATGGCCCCCAATTCAACAACCACACAGACTTGCTCTAAGCCACCGACATGGAAATCCAGCCCAACACTGTAGAGTCACAGCATGTGCCTTGAAAATCCTTATCAACTTGTAGCCAGGAGTCCCCTGAAGTTTCAATTATGATCAAATCTGGTCCAGAATCAAGTCTTGTTATATCTTGGACAATTCCTAGAAGAGTCAGGGACCCTGAAGAGTGTCTTACTTTAGAAACTGGAATCCTATAGTAATTTCTCTTAGGTCTGTCTGAAGGCCCACCTCATCTTTAAGGCTGTAACATGTCCTGATGACATTCTGATACAGTAGCTTCAGGGAAGGCATTGTTGTTTGATGAAAGTCATGAGGAGGAAAGCAAACCTTCATATTTTCCAAAGCTCTTGATGAAAACAGCCGATGCTTATTAACATGCATTCCACACAATTTCTATTATGATGCTATAATTTAAAACACTGACTCAAAGCCCTAATAAAGGAGGTGAAACTCACTTTCTAAATTTACTGTACAGATTGCTCTTCTTTTCTCTCCATCAATCTTCCTCCTCTTAAGCAAAATGTACAATTTGGAACAAAGAGTGAAAATACTAGGGTTTTGACTGATCTCCTTGTTAACAATATTCTGCTGTGCGGCAATGGCATTGTAAGCATTTGAGTTCTGGTTCAAAGCATGTATGTGAAAGTTTCTATGTGAAAAAATCAGGTCACTTTCTATCTTCTGAGTTTAGGGGAACAAGAAGAGGGTAAATTAACAAGGGATGATTATCATTCTCCCCACCCTTTGCTGGAATCACTTAGTTTCAATTATTTTGATTATTGATTAAAGATTTTGTAAAGTGGAGGCCCTTGGCTAAAACATCAGCCTTGCCGTACTGGCATGAAGGAGAATGAGGATATAGGGGAGACCTTCAGGGCATCAGGAAGCCAGTGATGGGTCCAGGTGCAGTGAGATGGGGATCGTCCTAACCCTCCTGATGTCTAGCTAGAAGATTTGGCTCCCAGCACCAGTGATGGTATGGACCGCATTGTGAACAGCGCAGAGTTTGAAAAGGGCCTAAGAGCAGATGGAGAGGCTAAGGGTAGATGGAGAAAATCAAAGATGATCCCTGCTTCCTTTCTCATAGCAGTGCCACTTTGCTGTCTGCTCCCTCACTCTGGGGTTGTTCCCAGTTCTCACTTCTGTGGTCAGGAAGCACTGTTGGAGTTAAGTTTCTTAGGACATGAAGACTGAATAGGGCATGAGGTAGCCAGCCTTTAGAACAGTAAACTTGATGTCCATTGGCTGCTCAGAATAAACAGACCAAGGCAAGATGGTGAGTGTTCCAGACAGCTGTTGCTATGTAACAAACTACCTCCAAATTTAGCAGGGCGCAAGGTATGTTCCCTGGGAAGCAGACTCTGAGTTGGAGTAGAATGTATAGGATGTTCCTGAAGAACTGCTCTTAGAATTAAGTCTTCCAAGGGAGAGGAAGGAACTGTCTTGCAGCTCAGCCCTGGCTGGCCCAACAGAGTTCTGGAGCCAGAATGACCCTTGAGAGTTGCCCCAAATTGGGCTGGGATGACCTGGCTTTTATATCAGAGGTGCACAAACTTGCGTGTTTTCCAAATACAGGTGGCCACATGTTTTGTTGTGGTTCAGTCGCTAAGTCATTTCTTGACTCTTTGCTACCCCATGGACTGCAGCACATCAGCCTCCTCTGTCCTTCAGTGTCTCCTGGAGTTTGCTTAAACTCATGTCCATTGAGTCAATGATGCCATCCAACCATCTCGTCCTCTGGCACCCCCTTCTCTTACCTTCAATCTTTCCCAGCATCAGAGTCTTTTCCAATGAGTCCACTCTTCATATCAGGTGGCCAAAGTATTAGAACTTCAGCTTCAGTATCAGTGCTTACAATGAATATTCATGGTTAATTTCCTTTAATTTTGTGATCTCCTTGCTGTCCAAGGGATTCTCAGGAGTCTTCTCCAGCACCACAATTCAAAAGCATCAATTCTTCAGCGCTCAGCTTTCTTGATAGTCCAACTCTCACGTCCATACAGGACTACTGGAAAAACCATAGCTTTGATTATATGGACCTTTGTTGGAAAAGTGATGTTTTTGCTTTTTAATATGCTTTCTAGGTTTGTCATAGCTTTTCATCCAAGCAGCAAGCACCTTTTAATTTTATGCCTGCAGGTATGGTCCGCAGTGATTTTGGAGCCCAAGACAAGCCTGCTGTTTCCACTTTCTCCCCATTTATTTTCTGTGAAGTGATGGGACTGGATGCCATGATCTTAATTTTTTGAATGTTGAGTTTTAAGCCAGCTTTTTTCTTTTTTTCTCTTTTTCTTCAACTCTCCTCTTTCACCCTCATCAAGAGGCTCTTTAGTTCCTCTTTCCTTTCTGCCATTAGAGTGGTATCATCTGCATATCTGAGTTTGTTGACATTTCTCCCAGAAAACAGTTGATTCCAGCTGTGAGTCATCCAGTCCAACATTTCGCCTTATGTACTCTGCATAGGAGTTAAATAAGCAGGGTGATGATATACAGCTTTGACATGCTCCTTCCCCAATGTTGAATCAATCTGTTGTTCCATGTTCAGTTCTAACTGTTGCTTCTTCACATGCATACAGGTTTCTCAAGAGACAAGTAAGGGTTTATGTAAATAAAATTTTATTGGAACGCAGTTCCACTCTTCATTTCCATATGATCTAAGGCTGCTTTCAGGCTGCTTGGATAGAGTTGAGTAGTTGTGACAGAATCTGTATTACTGATAAAGCCTAAAACATTTAGTATCTTGCTATTTCTAGAAGTGAGTCGACCTCAGGTTTGTGTTCCCACAGTAGCCATTGGCTGTGGGCTTCCAGGGAAAGGACGAGACCTTGGACAGCAGTTCTGCAGCAGAGATGAGCCCTGCTGGGTGAGGGCTTGGGGCTATGCTGCTTCCACCCCCAACATTGGGGACAGTAGGTCTTTCCTCAAGGGACATGTGGGCGGAGCTCATATGATGGTGTCCATCATAGCAGGTTAAAATGACCATTGCATTTAATGGGTCAGGAATTCTGGAAGGACTCAGGTGGACAGTCTAACTTCCAAGATTCCTTCCTGGCTCAGTGTTCCTTTGCCTCTTTCTCTGTTTATGAGGCATCTCATCTTCCAAGGTTTCTGTATGCCACAGGGTAGTTTTAGGATCATCACACTTACAGGAGGGATTCACGAGGCGGGATATGAAAGCCCTGGGCCTGTGAAAAAACACACCAGAGCTGACGCAGCATCACTCTGCTGTGTCTAATTGGTCAAAGCTGTAATGGACCTGCCCAGATTCAAGGGGGTGGAACGAGATGCAAGATCACAGCGCAGAGGAGGTGAGAGGTGCTGTTACGCCATCTTGGGGAAATCTGGAATGCCTCCGTGGACCAGGTCTCAGAGCTGTTTAAATACGTCCCTTCCCTTTGAGCACATCACACTTCCTCTTCCAGGGGAAATGGCAACCCTCTCTAGTATTCTTGACTGGAAAATCCTGTGGACAGAGGAGCCTGATGGGGTACAGTCCATGGGATCATAGAGAGTCAGACACAGCTGAGCATGCAGGCAGTGGATTTGAATGGGGAGAGGGGAACAGGCAGGAAGGGGCTTTCATGTTGGAGCACAGGTGCATGGATCCTTCCTTTATAATAGTACCAGGCTACTTACTGCACCTCAGCCTCATGCCAGACCTGCCTGCCATGGGCTTTATGTATATTTATTATCATAAAGCTTCAAAACCTTCAAATAGTAAGTCCTGTTATTCCCATTTGATGAAAAAATGAGGCTCAGCACAAAGGAATAAACTTTTGGCCACAGAATTAAGCTTTGAGTGTGACAGGCTGACTCTGGCCCATCTCTCCATCCTGCAGCCCGCGGTGTCTACCTAAGGGGTGGCCGTGCAGGCCGGAGAACAAAGAAGCAAAAGGACCGTAGAACGATTTTCTTAGCATTAAGTGGTTCACAGTTTCCCATTTTTTCCTCCTTTTTGTTCCCTATAATTGAAGGAATCCCTCTCCCTGTTTTTTTGGTTTTAAGAGGAATAAAACAAAAAAGTGAGAAGCAAAGGGCACCATGAAGTTGTGCAGGGAGCCAGTGTGAGGCACCATGGCCTCTGGGAGCAAGACTGGGAGGGTGCAGACGGTGGTGTTATGAAGGGCCACACCAGCCTCTGCCCCCCAGGCAGGGCTCAGACTCTGTGGCTCCTGGCAGAAATGCCCTCGGGCCCCAGGGGTGGAGGAGTCACTTTGCCCCCTCCTCCAGATAAACATCCTCAGGTTATGTTAGAGATAAGCCTTGAAACGGGAGGATGTCATTAACACTTGGAAAAATTGTCCTCAGTTTTTAGTGTGCTAAGAATCACACTTGGGGCTTCGCAGGTGGCGCTAGTGGTAAAGAACCTGCCTGCCAATGCAGGAGATGCAAGAGACGCAGGTTCGATCCCTGGATCCAGAAGATCCCCTGGAGGAGGCCATGCAACACTCCGGTGTTCTTGCCTGGAGAATCCCATGGACAGAGGAGCCTGGAACACTAGGGCCGCAGAGTCAGACATAACTGAAGCGACTTAGCACACATGCAAGAATCACCTGAGGTGCTTGTTTAGAATGCTGCACTCCTGGTCCCCACTCTTGGAAACTCATGCAGCAGGTTGGGAGTGATGCCCCAAATCTGCATATTTAAAACACCCCAAGCCATTATGCTCCCAGTGAATCCTGAGCCAGGCTAAGAGAAACATGGACTTGGAGGGTGAAGGGGCAAAATCTCAAACTTCTTTTGTTAAAGCAGCTTGTTTGTCATTATAGTTTAATCTCACAAACACTAGTTTTCTTATTCTGGATGTAGATGTGGTAGGTATGTTTATAGAGCTGTCTTGCTCAAAGAAAGATAATGCACACGCAGTTATGTGCATAATTGCAGTTAATTATTGTGTTGTGAATGTATGGTTAAACTCGATAAAGATCAACTTATAAAAACTCTTATTACAACTTCTCTGTTATTTGCCATTAATCACTACTGTGGATTTTTTAGGGGAGTTTCTTCATTCATCTACTTAATTAAAAAGTTTCGTGTTCTTGCTGTGTGCCTGGCCCACTGGAAGGAGTGGGGAGAATACACACAGTGGGCCCACAGCTGGGGGCCGACCACCGCCCTCCAGGGATTTACAGTCTGGCCAAGGAGACAGATTCAATAAATCCCCAGCAACCACAGGCATTTCAATTTTGTGTATGTTTGTGATTTTTATAAATGTGGAAGTATTTACATAGATACAAAGTATACAAACAAACACTGCTTGTCAGGCCATAGGTTGTGATGTGAGGTTTTTTTGGTTGTTTTTTTTTTAATTGACTAACCTACAGATTTTGAAGTTTCCAGGTAGTCTCTGACTGGGCTAGGAAGATATATTCTATAAATTCTACACGAAGTTGGATTGTAGGGTGTTTTTTTTTTTCAATCAGTGAGTTAAGACTTCACATCTGAATATGTTGAATTAAGATGTCTGAAAGATGCATTGATGTTTTTTTTTTCCCATCACGTTTCTGCTCCTCCCCCATTTGTGAACCTAGCATGTTAGGAGAGTAATACCCAGCTGCTTTCAAGCACAATCATACCTGAATGCAGAATTGTCATCCAACAGTGAGAAGCACAGAGAATTCTGATTCCTTGCTTAGCAGTTTCAGCATGTCCTCAATGCTATTTTCTTGCCAGAAATCTGAGCGTGCAAATTGTCTTTGAGAAAACAAATCAATAGGAGACAGAAGCTGTCATCAGTAACCTCTGCTTCCTGGTTTTCAGCGTTGCAGGTGGTGAGCTGTTTGACTTCTTAGCTGAAAAGGAATCTCTGACTGAAGAGGAAGCAACTGAATTTCTCAAACAAATTCTTAATGGTGTTTACTATCTACACTCCCTTCAGATTGCCCACTTTGATCTTAAGGTACGTTGCTTGGTGTAAACCAGATGAAAGCATATGCATATCATAGCACTTGCTGTTTGTTTGATGGGAAAAATGGAGGCATCCAAAAGAGATACATGTGTTGTTTTTTTTCTTTTTCCTTAAAGGGGTTTATTGCATACAATTATCGGTATAAATCAGCAAGTATATAATGCATGCTTTTTTTTTTTTTTTTTTTTTCCGTAAAGGGGTTTATTGCATACAATTATCGGTATAAATCAGCAAGTATATAATGCATGCTTACTACAGCAGTTCCTAACGACTGTGTGGAATAGAGGCTTAGGATT